CTACTACTACTACTACTACTACTACTACTACTACTACTACTACTATTACTACTACTACTACTACTACCTACTACTACTACTACTAACCTCATTTCATACCACTATCCTTCAGGTAAGCTTGAGTACTAAGGTGAGCAAGACGAATTATCACTACCTGTGTCTAACACCTGTTGAGGCTTAATTACACTAAAACACTGAAGGGAATAGCATGAGTTATGACAGGTGTGATGGTGAAGTATTACCCAGCGAGAGAGGTGCGAGGATGGACGGTGAAAAATGGATAATGGAGGGGAACGGGAGGAATGATGTTAATGGTGCTAATAACAATACTGGTAATAAATTTGGTGGGAAGGATGATGTTGGACTACTACTACTACTACTACTACTACTACTACTACTACTACTACTACTACTACTACTACTACTACTACTACCTATCCTAACCTAACCTAACCTAACTTGTATATTTCTTTCATCTCTCCCTCATCTCTCCCTCATCTCTCCATTCTCCTGCGTCTCTCCTCATCTCTCAACATCTCTCCTGCGTCTCTCCCTCATCTCTGCCTCATCTCTCCTCATCTCTCCCTCATCTCTCCTGTAACAATTTATTTGTCTCGCTCAAACACATTAATTCTAATCTACTCTTGTCAAACATTCCATTATTTCTTTTTGTTTGTGCATCATATATTTGTCATACAGGTCGCTCCCTCCCTCTCTCCCTCCCTCCTTCCCTCCCTCCCCTACCTCCTTCCCCTCACCCTTCCCTCCCTTCCTCTCCCTCCCTCCCCTCCTCCCTCTTCCCTCACCCCTCCCTCCCTTCCTCCCTCCCTCTCTCCTCCTTCCCCCTCCCTCTTCCTCACCCCTCCCTCCCTCCATCCCTCCTCCTTCCCTCACTCCCTCCTTCCCTCACCCCTCCCTCCCTTCCTCCCTCCCTCTCCTTCCCCTCCTCCCCTCCCCTCCCTCCCTCCATCCCTCCCTTCCTCACCCCTCCCTCCCTTCCTCCTCCCTCCCTCCCTCCCTCCCTCCTTCCCCTCCCACCCCTCCCTCCCTTCCTCCTCCCTCTCTCCTCCCTTCCTCCTCCTTCCTCACCCCTCCCTCCCTCCATCCCTCCTCCTTCCCTCACTCCCTCCTTCCCTCACCTCTCCTCCTTCTCCCTCCCTCCTTCCCTCCTCCCTCCCTCCTCCTCCTTCCCCTCACCCTCCCTCCTTCCTCCTCCCTTCCTCCTCCTCCCCTCCCTTCCCCTCCTCCCTCCCTCCCTCCCTCCTTCCCCTCACCCCTCCCTCCCTTCCTCCTCCTCTCCCTTCCCCTCCCCTCCCCCTCCTCCCTCCTCCCCTCACCCCTCCCTCCCTTCCTCCTCCCTTCCTCCTCCTCCTCCTTCCCTCACTCCCTCCCTCCCTCCCCTCCTTCCCCTCACCCCTCCCTCCCTTCCTCCCCTCCTCCTCCTTCCCTCCTCCCCTCCCTCCCTCCCTCCTTCCCTCACCCCTCCCCTCCTTCCCTCCTCCCTTCCTCCCTCCCTCCTCCTTCCCTCCCTCCCTCCTCCCTCCCCTCCTTCCCTCTCCCTCCCTCCCCTTCCTCCCCTCCCTCCCTTCCCTCCTCCCCTCCTTCCCTCACCCTCCCTCCCTCCTCCCTCCTCCCCTCCTCCTTCCTCCCCCCCCTCCTCTCCCCTTCAACCCGGCAATATACAGCCTGAGACCATAACAATATGACCCTTGATGTCAAGGTCAAACCAGCTCGATGTTCTACAATGTGTTCTGAAGATTTTTTGTTGATGATGAGAGTGAGAGAGAGAGAGAGAAGTAGAAAGAGAGAGAGAGAGAGAGAATATTCTGGTACGCAGGATGAAAGCAACTGTCCACACACACACACACACACACACACACACACACACACACACACACACACACACACACATTCTGGTAACTAGAGACATAACACAATAGCTAACTGGTTCACTAAAAGCTACAACACAAAGGATTTTCAAATGTTCGTAAATTAAAAAAATGATCGTAAGTGGAGACGTAAGCTTATATCTCGTTCAATTGATCAACGATATTATAGAGAATTTTTAAGAATTCGTAACTTAAGTATTTCATAGTAAGAGAAGCCAGAAATACCTAAAATGGCGGCACAATTACACTGAGACTCTAAGTGAAATAAGATATTGTACAGAAACGTCGTACTTGACCGAGTGAAATTTAATATTGTGTTTCATAAATGATTTGGCTATTGTTGGGTGGACGCTGACTGAGTTCCTTACCTTTATTATATTCGGTAATACAGGTGAGGTATAGGTTAGGTTAGGTTAGGTTAGGTTAGGTTAGGTTAGGTTAGGTTAGGTTAGGTTAGGTTAGGTTAGGTTAGGTTAGGTTGTTGATAATCTGATCTTGTTAATCAATATTATTATTATTATTATTATTATTATTATTATTATTATTATTATTATTATTTATTATTATTACTGCAACTATTTTTGTTTTTCGGTGTTAACTTACCTCTCTCTCTCTCTCTCTCTCTCTCTCTCTCTCTCTCTCTCTCTCTCTCTCTCTCTCTCTCTCTCTCTCTCTCTCTCTCTCTCTCTCTCTCTCTCTCTCTCTCTCTCTCTCTCTCTCTGTCTCTATCTCTGTCTCTCTCTCTCTCTCTCTCCAAGTGAATATGTTTGGTTAAGAAACACCATAAAAGTTTTATGAGATAATAATGTCGTATCAGGTGTTCCCCCTCCCCATATTCTCTCCTCCTCCCCTCCACCCCTCCTCCCCTCCCACCCCTCCCTCCCTCCCCTCCCACCCCTCCTCCCCTCCCACCCCCCCTCCTCCCCTCCACATCCCCTCCTCCCTTCCACCCCCCTCCTCCTCCCTCCCACCCCCCTCCTCCCCTCCCACCCCTCCTCCCTCCCCTCCACCCCTCCCTTCACACCCCTCCTCCTCCCTCCACCCCCCTCCTCCCTCCACATCCCCTCCCTCCCTTCCCCACCCCCCTCCTCCCTTCCACACCCCTCCTCCCTCCCCTCCACCCCCCTCCTCCCTTCCCCCCTCTCCTCCCCTCCCACCTCCTCCCCTCTTTCTCCCCACCCCTTCCCTCTTATCACCTCCTTAAATCCCCCCCTCTCCCTATCCTCCCTCCTTCCCCCACCTACCCCTCCACCCTTCCCTCCCTCCCCCCGTACTCTTCCACCTCCAACCACCCCCCCACCCCAATACCCCATTTAACCCCAACTTCTTCACCTTCTAGATCCTTCCCACAGTTACTCCTCCCCCTCACCCCTCTCCCACCCCCGTCCCTTTCCTTCCCTTCTCCTCTTCCTCACCTTCTCCTTCTCCCCTCACCCCTTCCCCCCTTCCCCCCCCTCCCTCTCCCTCTCTTCCTCATCTTCCTCTCCCTCACTGGTTCTCTCACGTACATAAATATATTCGAAATTCTCTTATGTAAGCTGGTTAAAAATAGTCTTCTTATTTCAGTGTGTACTTGAACGAGACTCTCATAGCTGCTCCTCTCACCGAAAGAAACATATTATTTTGTTAGAGGCTGCACTTAACCGAACGTAAGCTTTAAACACAGGTTAGGTAGAGGGGTGGTGTTAACGGGACTGGCCCAGGATATAGTGGTTCCCTGACTATAACGAGGCCCATCATTTAGTTATCACCACTCTATAACGTCAAACTAATTATACCGACCATATCAACTAAACCTGTATTAGTTTTGACCTCAATATTCTGTTTATCTTACTTTTGTGAACAACTCGGTAAATCTGTACTAGCAGTTACCTAAACCTGTATATATGGACCATTTTAGAGGATGTTTAATGGGGCACTCACTAGCGTCATATCTAATCATTTAATGCAGCAGATGATAGCAGTGCCTGTGCGTGCGTGCGTGCGTGCGTGCGTGCGTCGTTCGTGTGTGTGCGTGTGTGTGTGTGTGTGTGTGTGTGTGTGTGTGTGTGTGTGTGTGTGTGTGTGTGTGTGTGTGTGTGTGTGTGTGTGTGAGAGAGATAGTGAATTTGAATTATTACCATGGACCGCAGCTAGTTTATTGTGCACCCTATGCTCATCTTGTGAGCGGTAGCACAAAAAGGATTACAGTGGCGACAAAGGATGTTTATCAGACCCCAGTTGTCAGGATATTGTGTTACAGATTATTTTCAGTACATTATTTGTATAGTTCGGTATATACGGTTTGTTTAGCTATTATATGCCAAGTGTGGATACAGCCTTAGTATATCAGCTATCTTACCATCAGATAAAGTGCTGTATCACTGCACACACAGTGTGTTTGGATCTATCCCTATAAGGCTCGAGTTTTTCACGGTCTAAGACTTAGTGTTGGAGTGTGTGGCCATGTGTCTGGCCACACACTTTACATTTAGTCGTGTTCACATCTGCCTTTTTTTTTTCTTTTTTACGGGAGTTAGCCCACCCGGGCACAGGTCGAACGACCCACAACGGGGCCTGGGGGGCGAAAAAATAAGAATAGAAAAAAATAAAAAATAGAGAAGAAAAAGGTTATGCTGTGTTAATCTACAATACGAAGATGTCGGAAAACCAGCTTTTTAAAGTGAGACAGATTGTAATTTGTATGGAAACACAGAAGAAGGCAGATCATTCCACAGTTTGGCTGTGTGAGGGAAGAAGGAGGTACTATAACGGGTTATTCTAGTGTGACCGACATCCACAGAGAAACGGTGGGCACCGCGGGCAAGACGAGTGTTACGAGCCCACGGCCTTGCCGGCGGTACACAGGATGCCAAATACACCGAACATTGCCCGTTAAAGTACCTGTAAAAGAGAGAAAGTGAAGCAACATTACGGCGAAGAGAAAGGGAAGAGAGATTATCAACTTAAGGAGGAGAGTCAATAAGTCGAAATGATGTGACGAAGCAAGACCAACTTTCATAACCAAGATAATACAGGTATCATATAATCTTTCTTCTTTTTTTATAGAGATAACTGTTACCTGTGATTTGCTTCTTCTTACACGTATTGCCTTAGTCTAGCTCAGTCGTCTTGAGGCAAGTGTAAGAGAAGTTCAGGGACTGTTGTCTGCTGATACTTTGAGTGTTAGTGTCTGCTGAAGGCTTGAGTGCTGTCGTCTGCTGAAGGTTTAAGTGCTGCTGTCTGCTGAATGTTTAAGTGCTTCTGTCTGCTAAAGGCTTAAGTACCGATGTTTGCTGAAGGCGTGAGTACTGTTGTCTTCTGAAGGCTTAAGAACTGCTGTCTGCTGAAGCCTCAACGGTCGTTGTCTGTTGAAGCTTTGATTGCCTTGACGTGACATAGTTTCAAGTGTCTTACAGTGCCTCTCTGGGTGTTCTCATCGACATACAAACTTCCTCTCGCTTCAGATTTTGCTGAAGTTTGCCGTCTTGCTGAAGGACCGCTGAAGTTCCTAGTTTTTGGTGGTTACTGAGGTTTCACCTGCTGAATCATGAAGCCTCCATCAGTTCTCTTCATCACGTTAGTATTGATCGGTAAGTGTGTGTGTGTGTGTGTGTGTGTGTGTGTGTGTGTGTGTGTGTGTGTGTGTGTGTGTGCCAAGGATCAAGCGTTAACTTCCGGTGGTTGATCAGTATTCATCGACAGTTTGATTTAAAATTCAAAACTCATTATGGGTAACGGAAATACTGGAACTATCAACCATATACCTAACCTAACCCCGTCAGTGTTACCAATGTATCATATTAATAACCCCGTCAGTGTTACCAATTTACCATAATAATAACCCCGTCAGTGTTACCAATTTACCATAATAATAACCCCGTCAGTGTTACCAATAAGACCATCACCTATAATTACACACCTGGATAGCTCTCCTGGTCTGGACGCGTTTAACAGTACCAATAATTCTTGGGTATAAATATATGCTTTCCACTTCTCTAAATCTCGTGAATTTGCTGTCCAAAAAAATGCGAATTGGATTTTGGGGAATATTTTGGGGAGGGAAATTATGAGTACGTGAAGTAGCATACAGAGCATTGTACTGTAGATACTGTACTGTAGTGGCTTAGAGTTAACAAGGTAGTGAGTGTGAAAGATGGCACCCGTGTAGAAGATGTTGCTAGAAAATAAACACTAATAATAATGAAAAATACTTATATCGATAAGTTATTATTATTGTTATTATTATTATTGTTGTTGTTGTTGTTGTTGTTGTTGTTGTCGTCGTCGTCGTCGTCGTCGTCGTCGTCGTCGTCGTCGTCGTCGTCGTCGTCGTCGTCGTCGTCGTCGTCGTCGTACCTGTCTCCCTGACCTAGGGTGAGGTAGGGTGCTGGGTCATGTAAGCCATCATTGGGAGGTGTTGTGTGTAACGTGAAACTTTTTAAATCACGATAAATTTCACGAACTTTTTCCCTTGTGTGCAATATTAACCCCTTGAATACAGTAGATTATCTTTCTGTGTTAAGCCGCTCCCTCACTACAGCTGCAGATGTTCAGGACATCCACCACGTGGTCCGGGTAGGTCCTTCAGCATGGCAGCCGGAAGGCTGAAAATATACAGTTGCATAATTGGGGAATGGGTCTCTTGGTTGACAAATAATATACAAGTAACATAAGTGATACAAATATGATATATAATAACTAGGTGAGGAGAAGGTCAAACTACAGGGCATTTCAACATAGTGACAGTGCAAAAAGTAAGATTGACTGGGAGTGAATACACTGGTTGATTACAAGTTGTTGATAAATTTTACAATGGTTGGGACTGGGCTGTTCTTATAGCGATCAGTTCGTGCTTGTATGGGCTGGATGCGGTTGTGGTGTCGAACAGCAATTCTCAGGCGAGGGACCTCAAGTGTGTGTGTGTGTGTAATAATCACACACCTATAACTATCCCTCAGCAAGTTATCTACGAGTGAGTCCTGCAGGGCAGATAAAGTTAATCTCACTATCACTCAGACGCGGTAATCCTCCTATTGCTGATGTGAGAGATGACTTTGGGGATTTTATTTCTGGGAATAAAATGTAATATATTTTTTATTTGTTGATAAAGTTTATTTATTGTCTTTAGATTGTGTGTGTGTGTGTGTGTGTGTGTGTGTGTGTGTGTGTGTGTGTGTGTGTGTGTGTGTGTGTGTGTGTGTGTGTGTGTGTATGTGTGTGTGTGTGTGTGTGTGTGTGTATAATAATAATAATAACTAACGGTTTATTGAAAGAGCATGGCAGCAGGAAGGCTGAAAATATACAGTTGCATAATTGGGGAATGGGTCTCTTGATTGACAAATAATATACAAGTAACATAAGTGATACAAATATGATGTATAATAACTAGGTGAGGAGAAGGTCATACTACAGGGCATTTCAACATAGTGACAGTGCAAAAAGGTAAGATTGGCTGGGAGTGAATACACTGGTTGATTACAAGTTGTTGATAAATTTTACAATGGTTGGGGCTGGGCTGTTCTTATAGCGATGAGTACGTGCACGTATGGGCTGGATGCGGTTGTGGTGTCGAGCAGCAATTCTCGGACGAGGGATCTCGAGTGGTAGTAGCAGCCGGTGTCGAGGATGGTGCAGAAGCTTCTCACCAAATTTGCAGATGAGGTCGTGGTGATGGTCAGTGAGAGCCGAGAGGGTCAGTGTGTTGAGCGCTTCTTGATATGTGGAGTAGGAAGGGGAGAGAATAATCTTGCATGCCCTCTTTTGCACTTTTTCTAGGTGTTTACGTTGTGTGGCATTTAGGGAGGAAGACCAGGTGGGGGAGGCATAGGTGAGCTTAGGGAAGTATGAATGTTGAGTCAGCACTGAGGCTCGTGTGCAGGAACTCCGAGGGACTGAGTCGGCGGAGGAGGTGGAGACGGAAACTGGAGGATTTGACACTGACGTGTGTGTGTTGTGTGTGTGTGTGTGTGTGTGTGTAACGGATCCTGGGGCTGTGTTCATCCTCTGGTCTCTCTGCTTTCAGCTGAGTACAGTGCTCTGGGTGTGTGGTAGTGAAAGGGTAGTGGTGAGGTATAGTGGTGAGAGGGTGGTGGTAAGAGGATGTGGTGGTGGGGGGGGTGATGAGGAGGAGATCTTGATGGTTAGGGGTGGAAGGAGTTAGTTCATTATGGTTTTACCCAACAGCTGGTGTCTCGCAAGTGTGGAAGATGGCCGCGCCATATTCGTGATGATGATGATGTTAACGTTTCTGTCTATCTGTTAACGTTTCTGTCTATCTGTTAACGTTTCTGTCTATCTGTTAACGTTTCTGTCTATCTGTCAACGTTTCTGTCTATCTGTCAACGTTACTGTCTATCTGTTAACGTTACTGTCTACTGTTAACGTTTCTGTCTATCTGTTAACGTTTCTGTCTATCTGTTAACGTTTCTGTCTATCTGTTAACGTTTCTGTCTATCTGTTAACGTTTCTGTCTATCTGTTAACGTTACTGTCTACTGTTAACGTTTCTGTCAATCTGTTAACGTTTCTGTCTATCTGTTAACGTTTCTGTCTATCTGTTAACGTTTCTGTCTACCTGTTAACGTTTCTGTCTGTCTGTTAACGTTTCTGTCTATCTGTTAACGTTTCTGTCTATCTCTTAACGTTTCTGTCTATCTGTTAACGTTTCTGTCTATCTGTTAACGTTTCTGTCTATCTGTTAACGTTTCTGTCTATCTGTTAACGTTTCTGTCTACCTGTTAACGTTTCTGTCTGTCTGTTAACGTTTCTGTCTATCTGTTAACGTTTCCGCATCTATCTGTTAACGTTTCTGTCTATCTGTTAACGTTTCTGTCTATCTGTTAACGTTTCTTATCTATCTGTTAACGTTTCTGTCTGTCCTGTTAACGTTTCTGTCTATCTGTTAACGTTACTGTCTATTAACGTTTCTGTCAATCTGTTAACGTTTCTGTCTATCTGTTAACGTTTCTGTCTATCTGTTAACGTTTCTGTCTATCTGTTAACGTTTCTGTCTATCTGTTAACGTTTCTGTCTATCTGTTAACGTTTCTGTCTATCTGTTAACGTTACTGTCTATCTGTTAACGTTTCTGTCTATCTGTTAACGTTTCTGTCTATCTGTTAACGTTACTGTCTATCTCTTAACGTTTCTGTCTATCTGTTAACGTTTCTGTCTCTGTTAACGTTTCTGTCTATCTGTTAACGTTACTGTCTATCTCTTAACGCTTCTGTCTATCTGTTAACGTTTCTGTCTATCTGTTAACGTTTCTGTCTATCTGTTAACGTTTCTGTCTATCTGTTAACGTTTCTTACTCTTTCAGTATTTTTGTCTGTATCTCTCTCTCTCTCTCTCTCTCTCTCTCTCTCTCTCTCTCTCTCTCTCTCTCTCTCTCTCTCTCTCTCTCTCTCTCTCTCTCTCTCTCTCTCTCTCTGTCTCTCTCTCTCTCTCTCTCTCTCTCTCTCTCTCTCTCTCTCTCTCTCTCTCTCTCTCTCTCTCTCTCTCTCTCTCTCTCTCTCTCTCTCTCTCTCTCTCTCTCTCTCTCTCTCTCACTCTCTCTCTTTCTTTCCAGGATGTTATAGTCTGACCAGAGGTGAGGAGGAACCCTTACACCTCTCCCTACCTACTAAGACACCATCTCTCCAGCATCTTAACACCCCAAAGACCCAGAGTGATGATGACTTATCTCGTGAAAGCAACTCCTCCTCAAAGGGTGAAATTCCTACCAACAATGATCTTCCACCAGTCGTTAACGAAACTAATAGATTGAACTCTACCCGCTCGTTCAACACTACCAACGGAGACGCGACCTTCGTGTTCAATGCCACCAGCACTCAGAGTCCAGACTGTCCCATGTTGTATACCCGTGTAGGTCGTCGATGCATCGCTCTCATCACCAATGGAAAGGTATTTAATTAACCCTTTGTGGATGATATTTGTTAACCTTTTGAGAACTGTGTTTAAGCGTTTAGGGATGATGATTTAACCATTTTTAGGAATGATGGTTTAACCCTTTGAGGACGATGATTTAACTCTTTAAGGATTATGGTTTAACCTTTTAAGGATGATGGTTTAGCCCCACAGGTACACGTCAATAATTCCTTTGTAATATTTTATCCACACTAAAAGTAAGAGAAAGTCACCACCCCTTTGATTAATTTGCTCCTGTAAACACCGGTAGGGTAATTAAGGTGATGTACAGGTGGAAAGATAAATGAATTAATTTCTACTTCCCTACCTCACCTGTCTACCTCACCTGTGTACTGCCCTACCTCACCTATCTACCTCACCTGTCTACTTCCCCACCTCACCTGTCTACCTCACCTGTCTACTTCCCTACCTCACCCTGTCTACCTCACCCTGTCTACCTCACCTGTGTACTTACCTACCTCACCTATCTACCTCACCTGTCTACTTCCCCACCTCACCTGTCTACCTCACCTGTCTACTTCCCTACCTCACCCTGTCTACCTCACCTGTGCTTCCCCCTCACCTGTCTACCCCTCACCTGTCCCCACTTCCCCACCTCACCTGTCTCCACCTCCCTACCTCACCTGTGTACTTCCCCACCTCACCTGTCTACCTCACCTGTGTACTTCCCCACCTCACCTATCTACCTCACCTGTGCACTTCCCTACCTCACCTATCTACCTCATCTCTGTACTTCCCTACCTCACCTATCTACCTCACCTGTGTACTTCCCCACCTCACCTGTCTACCTCACCTGTGTACTTCCCCACCTCACCTGTCTACCTCACCTGTGTACTTCCCTACCTCACCTATCTACCTCACCTGTGCACTTCCCTACCTCACCTATCTACCTCATCTCTGTACTTCCCTACCTCACCTATCTACCTCACCTGTGTACTTCCCTTTACCCCCACCTGTCTACCTCACCTGTGTACTTCCCTTACTCACCCATTCACCTCACTTGTTCACTTCCCCACCTCACCTGTGTGTATCTCTACCTACCTCACCTATCTACTCCTCACCTGTCTACTTCCCCACCACCTGTCTACCTCACCTGTGTACTTACCTACCTCAACTATCTACCTCACCTGTGTACTTACCTACCTCACCTGTCTACCTCACCTGTGTACTTACCTACCTCAACTATCTACCTCACCTGTGTACTTACCTACCTCACCTGTCTACCTCACCTGTGTACTTACCGACCTCACCTGTCTACTTATCTACTTCACAGGTCACTTGGCCCGAAGCGAGACTCTTCTGTAAGTCAATCTTCGGGGACCTTTTAACCTTCTCGAATGCCACTGACTACATTGACCTCCTCCAGTATCTCCAGACCTCCAGTAAGTGCCATGTTTGACCTTTGATAAGTGCCATGTTTGACCTTTGATAAGTGCCATGTTTGACCTTTGATAAGTGCCATGTTTGACCTTTGATAAGTGCCATGTTTGACCTTTGATAAGTACCATGTTTGACCTTTGATAAGTGCCATGTTTGACCTTTGATAAGTGCCATGTTTGACCTTTGATAAGTGCCATGTTTGACCTTTGATAAGTGCCATATTTGACCTTTGATAAGTGCCATATTTGACCTTTGATAAGTGCCATGTTTGACCTTTGATAAGTGCCATGTTTGACCTTTGATAAGTGCCATGTTTGACCTTTGATAAGTGCCATGTTTGACCTTTGATAAGTGCCATGTTTGACCTTTGATAAGTGCCATATTTGACCCCAGGAAAATGCCTTATCTTCCTACCTTACCGTGGAGAGTGACAGTAGTCTTGACCTGGACACAAAACAAGACAAAACACAAAACTAAGACTATTTTTTATTTTTTATTTTTTTTTTTTTAGCGAGATAATCACGACATTAAAAAAAATCATTAAGGTTCTATATTATTATTTTTAGTCATTATTTATAAGCTTTATGTAAAATAGATTTTAAAGCTTTTGAACTTTTACGAAAACGACTACAAAAATTCACCTGATTCATTGTTTTCCAGAGAAGATATTTAAAACACCTAGCCTAACCTAACCTAACCTAACCTAACCTAACCTAACCTAACACCCAAATATCATCTTTACTTCGTTTTCCTCACCTTCAGAAGCGAGCGTCGACCTGTGGCTTGGAGGCTGCGAGACGATGGGGAGGTGGAGGTGGGTGACCGATACTCCCATGCCTCTAGGTTCTCCTTATTGGGCTGCCTTGTGAGTTCTACTTGATGCAATGTTTAAAACTACTCTCTGCTTAGGTTAGGTTAGGTTAGGTTAGGTTAGGATAGCTTAGGTTAGGTTAGGTTAGCTCTCCTGGTTTTACAACTTTCTCTATAAATTTTCGTTTTATCTTTTACACAGTACACATGACTCGTTCTACAGGGACTTATATACGATACCACGACACTACATCCAGCCTCCTTACGCCTACACCACTGATCTGAGGGATCCTTACTGGTGAGTTAGTTAGGATTTTTGTAGCATTGGTGATATTGTTATTATTATTATTATTATTATTATCATTAATAGAAATAGCAGTAGTAGTAGTAGTAGTAGTAGTAGTAGCAGTAGTAGTAGTAGTAGTAGTAGTAGTAGTAGTAGTAGTAGTAGTAGTAGTAGTAGTAGTAGTAGTAGTAGTAGTAGTAGTAGTAGTAGTAGTAGTAGTAGTAGTAGTAGTAGTAGTAGTAGTAGTAGTAGTAACACTAGTCTTCCTCACACAGGTGTGGCGGCAATAACCACCAAACACTACTTGTACCTGAGCGTCCATTACAGTAACCAGAGGAAGAGTCCATTGTGTGAACTGACGACTGATCAAGTGTATGTCGCTCGAGAAGCATAGTGTCCTCTGTGGGTCCATCCCTAGTGGTCCTTCTCTGGTATATTGGTCCATCCCTAGTGGTCCTTCTCTGGTATATTGGTCCATCCCTAGCGGTCCTCTGGTATACTGGTCCATCCCTAGTGGTCCTTCTCTGGGGCATATACACACACATACATACGTAATTACTAAGAACAATTATTAACCTGTAACAATATAATTACACAAAGAATGTATGAAAGTTTATATAATTCTTATGAGATAAAATGATCTCTAAGTTAAATTAACATACATCATATTAACCCAAGTCTGGTAATAACTTCTCACTAGACATTCATACAAACTTTTTTCATATTGTAATTTCACAATTTCTCTAGTAACATTATATCAGTCTATAATCATAACTGCTCCTCAGCTTAACTGGTACATAAGTTGTGGTCCATTGTTGTATCATCCAGCGCTCATCATCTAACCGGTTACATAACATCTTCAGTCAATCCACACCTAAACACTTAAACCCCTGAAATATTTATTAACATAGGTAATATATTTCAGGTAAGATAAATAACAAAAATATTCACTTCAATCACTATGGTTCACTTTACAAAAGAAATAAATTATTAAGTAATTCACATTAAGTAATAAATCATATTAAATTATAACTAATATATCCCTATTCATCTTAATTAATAAAAACTGTAATATCTCTTTCATATGTTCACTATTAAGTAAATTATGTTCAATTAATTTATAAATCAGTTTAATCTTTGAAACAATATCACACATTTATCATTATATTAATAAATATTTTAGTTTATCATTGTTTATCAAATAAATTCCAATGTTTCACTTCTCCATTTTATTTATACATCAAGTATTATTACCTAATCATTATGTCACTGATTAACAACTAACATATATTCATCTTACCATCTCTTCGGGTGTTTAACAGACTTATATTATAATTAAAACCCTTAGAGAGACTTAAAGCACGTCTGTTCCGTTTGACGTCTGATCTAAGAGTGAGGAACACCCTTCCCCCATACCCTGTACAGTAGGTCTGGCTCTGTTAGATCACTGGTTTAAATTCCAGCTTATAATTAATACAGCCTCAGGGTATGTTATGTTAAATATTTCGTTACATTTCTTCAAATTAAAATTTTTCTACTAATTATTTAAGTGTTTATAACCCTTAATGATGGTATTCCACTTACAATTCTAGGTCAATCTCTACTCTCAGTGTTTAACAATTTATGATTTAGTCTTAATCATCAATCAATCTATCGTGGAATTAATATTTAAAAAGACAACATCAATAATTTACTGAGAAAATCATATACGTAAAACAAAAACTTAGTTACATTTTACAAAATATTTACACCCTTTAAGTATTTTTAATTAACTTACAATAATTTAATACTTACATATTATTTCATAGTGATCATCTTACAGTGTTTCTTCATACAATTCTTCAGGTTACTTAACAATCAAAGGATAACAACACAATGTAAGGATTTCTTTATACTCTTACTTATATTTGATGATTTTATTTGTTTATTTCCCATTAATTCTAACATATGAAAGGTGTTTCTATATTATTATCTTAAACAATTCTATGTCACATAATAACATGTGTGTCTGCTGCTTCATACGATCAGTGAATTGAAGAAAAATTTCTCTATCGTGTTTCATATGATTAATGAAATATACTGAAACATACTAATACACACTAGTATACATAAAATAATACACACATCAAGGTACTTATTCTTACTACAGCGCTATCAACCAGAACAACCTCAATCACATGGACTAATTGCTTTAAGGGTCATTAGCGGGACTTAATTACCCTAATGACGGAGTATTGACCTCGCATCCTTAATCAGTGTGTTAAAGAGAACTTGAGTTAAGGAGAAAAAAAAAAGTTGCCGACATCGACATTTGGATGAAGAGAGAAAACTTCGGTAAAAATAATATGTTGAAAACTCCGGGATTTTTGGGGTATAAAAGATAGATAGATAGATAGATAGATAGATAGATAGATAGATAGATAGATAGATAGATGGAGGGATCGGTGGATTAACAGGACAGTTGAGGAAGACTTGTGTTAAGGTTTTGATAACGGGTGAGGTCAAGGGTCATTAGCAACACAAATTGTATCCTTTAGGTTCAGGTCTTGATTCAGAGAGGTGAGGTCAGTCTGTATTGAGGTCTGAGGATAATCTTAATTTTGAGTGAAACAAAAGGAAACTTCACAAAGAATTATGTTTTTTGTTATCACAGTAAATTTATTGTTGGGGTAAGGTGTTCGCTGTAGTAAGGTGGTCGCTGTAGTAAGGTGGTCGCTGTAGTAAGGTGTTCACTGTAGTAAGGTGTTCACTGTAGTAAGGTGTTCACTGTAGTAAGGTGTTCACTGTAGTAAGGTGGTCGCTGTAGTAAGGTGGTCGCTGTAGTAAGGTGGTCACTGTAGTAAGGTGGTCACTGTAGTAAGGTGTTCACTGTAGTAAGGTGGTCACTGTAGTAAGGTGGTCACTGTAGTAAGGTGGTCACTGTAGTAAGGTGGTCACTGGAGTAAGGTGGTCACTGTAGTAGCAAGGTGGTCACTGTAGTAAGGTGGTCACTGTAGTAAGGTGGCACTGTAGTGGTCAAGTAAGGTGGTCACTGAGTAAGGTGGTCACTGTAGTAAGGTGATCACTGTAGTAAGATGGTCACTGTAGTAAGGTGGTCACTGTAGTAAGGTGGTCACTGTAGTAAGGTGGTCACTGGAGTAAGGTGGTCACTGTAGTAAGGTGGTCACTGTAGTAAGGTGGTCACTGGAGTAAGGTGTTCACTGTAGTAAGGTGGTCACTGTAGTAAGGTGGTGACTGGAGTAAGGTGGTGACTGGAGTAAGGTGGTCACTGTAGTAAGGTGGTCACTGTAGTAAGTTGGTCACTGTAGTAAGGTGGTCACTGGAGTAAGGTGTTCACTGTAGTAAGGTGGTCACTGTAGTAAGGTGGTCACTGTAGTAAGGTGGTCACTGTAGTAAGGTGGTCACTGTAGTAAGGTGGTCACTGTAGTAAGGTGGTCACTGGAGTAAGGTGGTCACTGGAGTAAGGTGGTCACTGTAGTAAGGTGGTCACTGGAGTAAGGTGGTCACTGTAGTAAGGTGGTCACTGGAGTAAGGTGGTCACTGGAGTAAGGTGGTCACTGGAGTAAGGTGGTCACTGTAGTAAGGTGGTCACTGTAGTAAGGTGGTCACTGTAGTAAGGTGGTCACTGTAGTAAGGTAGTGACTGTAGTAAGGTGGTCACTGTAGTAAGGTGGTCACTGTAGTAAGGTAATCACTGTAGTAAGGTGGTCACTGTAGTAAGGTAGTCACTGTAGTAAGGTAGTCACTGTAGTAAGGTGGTCACTGTAGTAAGGTGGTCACTGTAGTAAGGTGGTCACTGTAGTAAGGTGGTCACTGTAGTAAGGTGGTCACTGTAGTAAGGTGGTCACTGTAGTAAGGTGGTCACTGTAGTAAGATGGTCACTGTAGTAAGGTGGTCACTGGAGTAAGGTGGTCACTGGAGTTAGGTGGTCACGGGAGTAAGGTGGTCACTGGAGTAAGGTGGTCACTGGAGTAAGGTGGTCACTGGAGTAAGGTGATCACTGGTGTAACGTGGTCACTGGAGTAACGTGGTCACTGGAGTAAGGTGATCACTGGAGTAAGGTGGTCACTGGAGTAAGGTGGTCACTGGAGTAAGGTGGTCACTGTAGTAAGGTGGTCACTGTAGTAAGGTGGTCACTGTAGTAAGGTGGTCACTGTAGTAAGGTGGTCACTGGAGGAATAAAAACAAGAAAAACAAAAGAAAAACATACAAGAAAAATACAAAAAAGAGAAAAAGAAAGAAAATTATACTTGTTTATTTTATATAAGAACATAAGAACATAAGAATGGAGGAAACTGCAGCGGGCCTATTGGTCCATACTGGGCAGTCCCGTTTACACCCAACCCCTATTGCTCATATAAGCATCTAACCTATGTTTGAAGCAATTCAGCGTATTCGAGTTAATGATGATATTTGGTAACTTGTTCCATTCATCCACTACTCTGTTTCCAAACCAGTGTTTACCTATTTCACGCCTAAATCTAAATTTGTCCAATTTAAAACCATTGTTACGAGTTCGCTCCTGGTTGGATAATTTGAGTACCTTTGTAATGTCCCCTTTGTTTAGCCCTGCCTTCCACTTATACACCTCTATCAGGTCGCCCCTCGCTCTACGTCTCTCAAGGGAGTGCAGATTAAGATGCTTTAACCTGTCTCTATACTCAAGGTTCCTAATGCCCGGGATTAGTCTTGTCATTCTCCTCTGAATTCTTTCCAAGGATTCTATATCCATTCTGTAATACGGTGACCAGAACTGAACTGCGTAATCCAGGTGTGGTCTTACAAGAGCAAGATACAGTTTTAGGATGACCTCGCTAGTCTTGTAACTAACACTCCTTTGTATGAACCCAAGTACTTTATTAGCCTTGTTACGAGCAAAAACACATTGTTTACTTGGCTTAAGGTTCCTACTTATCATTACTCCTAAATCTCTCTCGCAGTCGGATTTCTCTATGGCATCGTTGTTCATCTGGTATCTGGTTTCCCTGTTTACATTTCCTATACTGAGTACTTTACATTTGTCGATGTTGAATTTCATCTGCCATTTTTCAGACCATTCGAAAAATTTGTTTAGATCACACACCAAACACACACACACACACACACACACACGAAAAAACCACACACACACACACACACACACACACACACACACACACACACACGAAAAAACCACACACACACACACACACACACACACACACACACACAAACAAACACACACAAATATTAACACCGATAAAAAATAAAAAAAATAGATGTAAAAGAAAAAAAATTTAAAACAAATTGAAAAACAAAAAACCACACAAAGACACAGGATAGAGACATAGAAACCCACAAAAACCCACAGGAACAAAACAAAAACAAAATTAAAACAGCCAAAAATGAAAATAGAAACAAAAAATCAATAAAAAACAGATAAAACAGAGAAAACACTAACAAGGAAACAATCATTAAAACACAAAAACAAGGAAAATAAACCTCATTCCTTTAGTTTTGTTTATTTCATATACAATTAAAACAGCAAAAAGAAACACGAGAAAAATAAAACATAAACTGAAAAAAAACAGGAAAAAACATAAAAACAAGAAAAGTAAACTTGACTCCTGTAGTTTTATGTTTATTTCTTATACACAATTAAAACTGAAAAAAACACACACACAAAATAGATAAATCAAATAAAACAGAAGAAAACACTGAATCAGGAAAAAAAATCACTGAAACAAACATAAAAAAACAAGAAAAATAAACCAAACTCCTGTAGTTTTGTGTTTATTTCTTAGACACAATTTCCGAACTGTCTCCTACACCACCCTCGCTATATTTCCTGTGTATCCCAAAAGGCAGGCGGACCATCCTTCACCCAGGCCTTGGCAGCTTACAGCACTAGGAGCAGTCAAGCGGTGTGTGTGTGTGTGTGTGTGTGTGTGTGTGTGTGTGTGTGTGTGTGTGTGTCCCTTTCAGTGTCTTTGATCTCTCTCTCTCTTACACACACACACACACACACACACACACAAGTAATACCAAGAAGATGTATGTCCCGGCAACAAGGCACACACCGTCTCTCTCTGCATCATAATATTGCAATCATTTATTATTTTTCCAACAGCCGAAAGCTCACAGCTGCTGTTAATATATTACAGAACTGTAACTCGGATACAGCATGTTGACAATTTTGAATGGAGTGCTGTGTCGCTGTATCGCCGCGAATTCATGTGAA